GAGGCTAAAGTCTGAAGAGGTGTAGTTTCAGTCAGCTCAAGGGTTTTTTCAGTCAATTTCTTTGTAATCTGTTAATTTTTAACAACTAGCTCTAATATGAAAAGACTTTTGCTTGTGATTATTTTCTGTTGTGAACATTAGATCATGCATATCTGTAGAGCAATTGTAGTCATTCTTAAATAAAATAGCCTTGTGAAGCCTACACTAGTGAAGAGTCACTTTCACAGACTTGGTTTCCCAGGAATCATGGCCAATGTGGAGAGTCAGGGCCCTGGGAGGCTCCATTTGTTTTTCTTTCTTCTGTCTTGTTTGCATAAGTCCAGTAGGCAGAGGCTCAGATAGGATAAACATCTTTGGAGATGTGGAAATAAGGGAGGAGGAGCTAAGACAAAAAGGACATGGTTAGGAGTACATCTACCCAGACCTTGTCCTGTCATATACATGAGAGCAACAGAAGTACATAAGTTTGGCTCTAGTGTGTATTAATCTTTGTTTACTAAATGGAGTAACACAACCTATCAGTATATATTGACCATGGAATCTTAGACCTGGTAGAAACCATAGACGTCACTTGCTTCATGTCCTGGACATCTTCAAGAGATAATCCATCAAGCTCAGCTCTGGATGAAGATGTCAGCCTCTTCCATGATTGAGGAGTATTAATATTGAACAGATGTACTTCACAAGTTGAATCCTCTCTCCCTGTGATTGTCCAGCCAATCCCTACACTGTGCAGCAAGCTTTGTCTTGCACAGTGTATCTCAACAGTGCTATTAGGTCCATATGTAGTCTTGCTGTCTCTATTTTCTTCTTTTGATCCTCCCAAGACCTAGTTGCCAGAACCTTCCACTTTCTGCTTGTCCTTCCTTCCCTCGCTGGAGCATGCATTTGCTGCATCCTAGTATGGACACATGGGTTATAGTGTCACTTCAAGCCCAAGGTTGTGTGTGAGCTCTTTGAGGAGCTACAGCACATTGTTTGACTGGATAGATTTTTATTTCCTACTTGACATAGCTAAATATAGTGTTGTCAACTTAACTCTGGATTGCTTATACATAAGCCACATTCTGAAATTGATAGACAGGCTTTCTCTAAAAATCTACAGTAAGTCTATATCCATTAAGTATGTCTCACTGAGAAGCAGAATCTACTAGTCTCAGAGGATATTCCAAATGCTAACCTTATTCTTTTCCATTATAATTTTCCCCAAGGTAGCCTTTGGTGTGGAAGAAAGAGATCTTTGCTCCAACTTCCTTTCCTCTAGGTACTTCCTACACCCAGATGAACACAGTGGTGTTCACTGGCCTTTTGGATGAAAGCCATGAGCATGGCACAAAGATCTCTCTAGTGCCATTTCTGGCGGTACATAGAAGTCTCTTCATACTTAAGCAATTGAAAGGACTTATGTAAAATGTTGTGCCTTATAACCATGACTTCATCCCCCATAGCTCATTCTTATACTGTGCAGACCCGGTTTTGAGACAAATACACAGTGCTGTGGTACCACCTACACCGCCATTTCTTCCGTTGATTTGGATGGCTTGTGCTGCTCTTGGCTGTGGACCTGTAAAAATAAAGTTGTAGGATAAAGTGGCCTGAATCATGTAATGAAAACCTTGTACCTTTTTGGAGGTCCAGCAGAGAGAAATGATTTATTTTTACCCTACCAAATAAAACATTCTAGGAATCCAAGGTGAAAATTGGATTTTAACTGCTACTAACATTTTGAGCATATAAAATCAGTGAGTGTTGAGTGCCTTTCTTGATTAAGGGAAGAGCCTAAAGAGTCCAGTGCAGGAATGATCTGAATGTGACGTGGACTGCTGTCTTGCTAATCCTAACTGATTAATAAAACTGGAAATAACCTTAAGCAAGCTTGGGCAGCCAGTTTGCAATATTGCACACCTCTGTGTTTGTTTTGTTACCAGTCTTAGACCTGAAGCATTGTTCTTCCTTCCTCCTTGTCCTTCAAGCTTTGGGTTTAATTAAGGTTTTTGGATTAAGCTTGGGGAATCTGGGAACTACTGGAGTCAGGCAGTCTGTTCTCATTTGAGTCTTTTCCTCTCTGCCTCCTCTATCTTCCCTGTGTGTGTTTCTTCCTCACTATCTCTCTACCTGTCTACTTCTTTAACATATTCTGTCCAATCTTTGTGTCATGTCTCAGACTGTTCACCTGTGGCCCTGGTGCATGCCTGGCCCCAGGAGGGAGCTTTCCTGCCCCACAGGTGGTATTCACCTATTGAGCTCTGTCTGCAGGCGGGGCTTCCCATCAGTGCATGGGTGCCTGGCTCACAACAGTCAGTCAGTCAGTGTTCAACTGGGTTGTTTTGCAGGAGAGATTCCTGTCTCTCTCAAGGAGAGCATGACATGTCTGCATATCTTTGGGAGCATTTGTTCAGCCTTCATATAATGTGGTAAACTGAGCCTTGCTCTCATCCTCTAGGGCTCTCATCGGCACCTTGCCCAGAATTATATGTCCTTTTAGGTTTATCCAAAAGCTGGAACCTAACTCAAAATGTCTTTAATACTAATCCTTTTAGTGTTAAAGGCATTTATTGCAGGGCAACTCATTTTGTCCTACAGAGTCATCTCCTGTGGAGTCTGGTGCTTTTCAAGTCTGGTGATTTTTAGGTGTTTGAGCACTCACAGTTTATCCATTCATATGTCCCTGGTCCCTGGCAACAGGATCTGCTAGCCTCATAGGATGGATCTGACAGGATGGATCTCACATGGGACATCTAGGACAAGGAACTTTTGTCTATAACAAAAATAATAATAACATAATAAATGATTTGGTAATGATATCTTAGCTCTAATATTGTCAGTTTATAGTGCTCATCATTGTATAAGTATTTTACCTTTCACTTTTCCTGACCCTAGGAGAAAGGTTCTATTATATATTAAGTACTATTATGGATAAGAAAATGACCTAGCTTCTTCAGAGGCATAAATTGGAAGAGTCATGGTTCAAGGCCAGCCCAACAAAAAGTTAGTGATCCTCCATTCAACCAATATGGTGGCTTGTGCCTGTAATCCCAGCTATATGGAAAGCAAAAGTAGGAGGATCATGGTCCAATGCCTGCCATGGGCAAAAATGTGAGCCCTTACCTAAAAAATAACTAAAGCACAAAAGGGTAGGGACATGGCAAAAGTGATAGAGCACCTGCTTAGCAACATGAGGCCCTGAGTTCAAAAGAAAAAGGAAAAAAACAGTCAAAGTGCATGTATGATGACCTAGAGTCAGAATTCATACTTGGGCCTCTCTAACTTGCCAGTGACTTTTAAAACCACTGTTGTATACTGTGTTTGGAGAACACACCATCCTATCAAACCACTGAAAATCACAGAAAAGCCTGAGGACTTCAAAGCTGTGGTATATCTAAAACTCCATTAACTGAGGTGGGCCTTCTTTGGGATGGTTTTGTTTTATGATTTGGATATGTAGTCACTTAGAGCCTTGAGGAGACCTGCCTACCACCTGCTGCCCTTCTCAGGGTCACCCCTTTCTGGACTTCCCATCACTCTGTGCTGTTCCCTATCCGGGAGCACGCACACCACTCCCTTGGTTTTTCACATAGTCGATTGCTTGCCTGAATGAACTAATTTGTTCCTTCATTCCTCAGGTGGTTTGCTCACTCATTCAGCATTTCTGAGCATTTGCAATGTGTCCTGTGTATTATGATATATATTCCCTGGCAGTGGAACTGTGCAGAATTAGCTGTGAGATAAAGACGAGGGAGGAATCCTGGAGACTGACATGAGGCTCCTCAGAGATGAGTCCCATGGGATGAAAGAAGTTTGGGGAAAGAAAAAAGGAAGGGGCATTCCAGGGAGAGGAAACAGCTTTTGAAAAGACATGCTTGTTCCTACAATGAAGAGTCCTTTGATATGCCTGAAAGATGGAAGTAGAGAGGTAGAAGGGGACAAGACAAAGTTTTTGGAGGGCTTTAGTGATCAGATTTGTCTTTGGAAAGATGATTCTGGAAACAGTGTGGAGGATTTTGTAGAGGTGGAAGTCTAGCAAGGCAGAGGGACCACTTAGATGGTCTGCATTTGTATTCAAGGCAGAGATGTGGGCTTAGCCTGTACAGTTGGGATGAAGAATCAGGCAGGCCTTTGGCATTTGGATGGATTGCAAGGCAGCATCTGTTTTCTAGGCCTTTCCTTACCCCATTCTCATTCACTTCAGACCCTTGCCTCATCTGACCCTGTGATTGACCAGGAGTCTTACCTGGTCTTACGGTTTGATTGTAATGTGTTGTCAAATTGCTCTAAGCCTCACTCTTCTGTCTCATCAGGCTGGTCTTGCTTAAACCTGCTAGCACCCTTCTAGCTTCGCTGACCTCCCCAGGTCAGACTGCTTGGCTTTCTGGAGCCCTCATCTCTGCCACAGCTGATCTGGCTCAGCCTGTCATCACTTCTTATACTGTCCTCTCTTGCCCTGTCCCTGCTCAGGCAGACCAGAAGCCTCTTGTAGGTGGGAGCTGTGCCATGTTCTCCAGTTTTATACACATGTCACATTCTTACAGCTCAGTTCCTGATGATCCACAAGAGTTACAACTAACATTTTAAAGGTTTATATTGAGGACTGGGGACAGAACTCAGTGGTAGAGCTCTTGTCTAGCATGCATGAGGCCTTAGGTTTGATCTCAACACACACAAAAAGTTTATATTGATCTTTTAAATTATGAGGTTCTTATTAAGGGAAAAAGACATTGCAAACTTAATTAAGTTTTATAAAGTGCTCTGAGCAGTGACAGATTTTCATAAGACTTTAAAAATTCCATGGTGCTCTTATTTGGAAATGTGCATGTTCATTTTAGTGTTATGTTGATTCTGTCCTGGTATTGGTTTCAAAGTTTTATAGTTGTGCTTTTTCTTTCTAATTGTGTTGATAACAAGGGGACTATTTTATAAAGTGACTATGAAGCTCCCCAGCACTCTAGGGCTGAACATCTTGCACTTGATTAACCTTCATATTTCACACCTAATCATTGCAGTGTGGCAAAGCTCTCCCTGGCCTTTCAAAGCAAGAGGACTGCTGTGGAACCGTGGGTACCTCCTGGGGCTTTAACAAATGCCAGAAGTGCCCCAAGAAGCCATGTAAGTGACATTTCATCATTCCTTTGCAGGTTAATGGAGCATGTCTGTTTTCTTCTGACTACTCTTTTAATGATGAGGCAATATTAAACCTTCAAAGAACTCCCTTACTGTATTCTAGAACACTGTGTGATAATATGCACTTCCAGAACCCTTGTGAGTCTATTAAAATTTCCATGTTGGTTCTGTTTTTTAATAAACACAATTATTAGTTGTCTTCTCTGATTGGATTACTTATGGCGGAAAAAGTCTTAAGAGGTGATAAGCTGAAATATGCTCCTTTGTCCCAAGGGAAGAGAAAATTGGCACCTTTTAAAATGGTAAATACATGTTTCAAGTCCTTTAAGAAGTCAGAATACGTAACAAAAAAATTTATAATAAAAAAAGAAAAAATAAAAGAAAGGACAAATTAGTTGAAGAGAAACAAACTGTCAATCAAAGAAGCAAAATAGAAACAAAAGGCATCAACAATAAAATAAAAAAACAAAGAAGCAAAACACTTGAAGAAGTCAGAACAGTTATTTCTTAATCATTTAAATGCCTTAAGTGAAAAATTTGTGAATAACCACAACTTATGCTATAGTTTTTATTATAGTATAGGATTTCAGATTTTGTTAAAAGAAAGGCTAATATTGGGGAAATGATTGGTTGCTGATTTGTAAAAAGAAACTTAGAATTGCTGGGACATAAAGTTTCCCCTTTTTTAATCAGTACCACTTTGTACTATCACAGTCTTCATATCTTTGGTTTGTCTTTAAAGTGTTTTACAGAAACTACTGATTTGATTAAATCTAGGTTTATGCCTTTCTGTTACTTCCTTCTGAGCAATAGTTTGTATCTTTAATTTATTTAATGTAGTATTAGCTCTGGATAACTGATTTCTAAAAAATACCCCTTAGAAAGGCAAAAAATGTTTAAGTTGAGTTTTCTTACACTTATTCACCGTATTTTTGCCATGGGAGCAAGTGACATTTTGCTCAGTCATTTACCTTTGTCTCATATGGTTGAAACTTATCATTGTGTTTTATTCTTGTTGCTACTATAAGGAATTTCTCAATTGGATGATTTCTTAATTTAAATAGCTAGTGGTTAGATTGATATTCTTAATGGCTTTTTAAACTTCTCTGTTCAACCTTAAATCTTCCATCTTGGTTACCACTCCACATCACTTTCTTATATACTATTTGTTCTTCCAGTATAATAATTTATTTTAAATACTTGTCTCTTATCTGGACTTCCTTTTGTCTCAAATTTTTACAGGTTCTCTAAATGCCTAAAGCTGATTTCATTTCTTTTGTAGATACTTAACGTCTTTTAGAGGACTAACTTGTGGAAATGCTCCCCACAGTTTTTGAAAATTAGTGAGTTTTTCCTTTTAGAAAAGTTTCACATTGGACTGGAGGAATGGCTCAAGCAGTAGAGCGCCTGCTTTGCAAGTGCGAAGGCAGAGTTCAAACCCCAGTCCTACCAAAAAAAAAGAAAAGTTTCACATAAATTATTGATGTTCAGTAGTGAAAGAATGTCCCAAGTTGACTTTCCAGGCTGACTAGATAGTGATTAGCAGAGTGGGTTTCTGGGAAACTGGTGGAGTGGTAATTAACCCTTCTCACTGGAAGATCCATTTGCCTAAAAGTATTTTGGCAATCTGACTGAAGGGATATCTATGATATGTTTGGAATGATTTAACAAAGCTGCTTAGAGTTAGGGTGACATGAATTTAACTGCCACCTCTGTCATTTACTGTCACTTGTTATGAATCACTAAACAGGAAGCTGAATCTAAAATGTTGAAAAAGCATTGTCATCTTTTTTTTTAACTGCCCACCCTTCATTAGCTATGCATAGTTGCTGTAGGAATATTGCGAGGGTAGATGTTCCCACTGCTAGGTCTAAAGCCTGAGGGTGGGGTTAAGCTTACGTTCCTTGATACTTCTCCATCTTCTTCCTTATTTCTTTTTTGTTTGTTCCCTTCTTTGTGAATATTTTGCTTAGTTGCCTCTCTCCTCTGTTTTCTAAATCCCAGTGTAGCAGAGAGTGACAGACATTAAGGACGAAGGAATTCATACTGTCTCTCTTTTTCCTTTTCAGTCCCTAACTTCCATCCCTGACTTGTCATTTTGATCTAGCATCGCATCATCTGGGGATAAAGTTGCTGCTTTGTATGGCTTTGTTGGTTCCATATTGTAATCTTGACAATGATCTCAGCTGAACGTGAAAGTACAAAGTTGCTGTTACTTTTAACTAAACGCTGATGGAAAGAAATTCATATGTTGGCTCATTTAATGTATAAAATTGAAAAGATAGATTTCATCTCAGGAAGGGCAATGTGGATTATGAGTAAAGTGAGTTCTTTGCATTTCAACATTTATTCTGTTTGTGCCGTCTTAAGTGACTCACCCCCAAGAAGCACACTCAGGGTCACATTTTTCCTGTGTCATTTAAAAAAACTTTCCTTCTTGGTTGGGACTACTCTCTAAATCATACTCAGACTGGAAGAGAGCAGACTTTCCTTGGCTTTTGATGCTATGGTTTTGTGTTCCATGTCTTTTTTTTCCAGTCAAAGTAGTTCAAACTTCAGTTTTCAAATGGCTGTTACTTAATGTTTGAAGTTTTTGTTTAGCCACATACAAAAAGAGCTTTCATTGTTGATCATTTTTTTGCTGTGAAAACTTAATTTTAAAATCTGCAAATGATTTCATTACTAGTCTGTCATTTATTAGAAATGTGCTTAGTGTGAACAAGTCACTTGTCCTTTACACATTTTTAGAAGAAAATTAACATAGAATCCTAAGCGAGGAGGTCTTTCAAAGATCATCTGGCCTGGCTCTCTGCCTTGAAGTAGATGACTGTTGAAAGTTATAAAACAAGTTAATATCTCTTTCGTCTTTGAAGAATTCACAGAGCAGAGATCCCACAATCCCTGTAGGCACCCTATTCAAGTGTCTCCATATAGGACAAGACTGGACATGACATGAGGCCAGAGGCTGCATGGGGCAATGCCCATGTGCCAACTTCTCCCCTTTTCAGTTACCATTCCCTGAAGCTAATCGCTGGGGAGGAAAAGATCCTGTCTGATAAGAATGTTTAATCACTAATTGCAAGAAAATATAACGTAGTCTTATTATTCAGTTAGCATAATAAAGATTTACTGGCAACTACTTAGGACTACAGCTATTACAAAATATGAAATATACTGAAAATCAAGCATAAAGTGAAAATAATTGTGGACCTATACATTGATATTAGTGTCTTCTAAATGAGTGACTTGGTTACCACCTCTAAGAGTTTAGGATTGCAAAAATTTAAACTAAGCAGGTAACAAAGATTTATTCCTTCCCTTCCAGCTTATCATGGATATAATCAAATGATGGAGTGTCTGCAAGGTTATAAGCGGGTTAACAACACCTTTTGTCAAGGTAAGGCTCACTGAATTCATTGGTATGAATTCAACAGTTGTTTTGGCATTTTAGAAGCTTGAGTTGTTTTGTCATGTGTTTCTCCTGAGCCCGGCACACGAAGGTCAAATGTAGCTAAGGGAACGTAGGCATTTAGTGTGCAACTGCTGGAATTGCTTCGTAACCACTGAAACTCTATGAAACTCTTTTATGTTATTAACTTGTGATAAATTCCACAGGAGTTCCAACAACACTGGTGGTGTTGATGCAGGGGTGCATGCACACACATGTCCCTAACACAGCTACTCCTTTGCTGACACAGTAAGTCAGTAGACTTCCTTTTTCTCCTTTTTTCAGAATAATGCTGGCCATTGGAAAATATGTAGGTACTAAAGATCAGAGTGAACACACTTTTCCTAGGCAACAGGAAAAGCTAGAGTTAAATGTGAAATGCCCTGAGTACTGTTGAGCATTACAGCAGAACTGTACAAACAGGGGGAACCTTGGAATTCATCTAGTCGTCTGTCGATACTTTAAAAATAAGGAAACTAATACCCAGAGAGGTTGTGACTTTCACTGCATAGAGATGACACTGTAACTCAGTTCTACCAGTTTCTTGTTCAGTTCCCATATTACCAAGTTTTGCTTTAGTTACTTCGTGGGCTATCCAGTTAATGCCCCTAATTTCCCTTTGCATATCTAGGATGGAGGTATTATTAGTAACCTGGATATATGTGTATTGAAATAGAGAAGCAGAGTTCCCCAAAAATCATGTCAACAATACAGCACATATGTTCTGACTTATGGTCTAGGGTCCTATATCCTTGACCAGCCTGTGTCTGTAGGAAAGAGTAGATGAAACTCATGTTACATGGTATAGTTTAAACCTTTATTAAATGGTCTGGTCAAAAGAATATCTTAACTGCCTGCGAATTTTCTCAAGTAAATGTCAATTCCATTTGTGCATCTGTATAACTTTTATGGTTTGTAGTATCTTCGTTGACGTAAACAATTTCCTTTTGAAATGCACATACAGAGTATATCTATATCTTTAAAAGATTTTACCTTAAAATATTAGAAGCCCTCCTTCTATGTAACAGAATGGGGAGCATGAACTGCTCGTGGAGAAAATGCCCATGACAATTTTTTAGAAATATCTGGAAACCTCAGTAACATGGGAATAATAGATTAATTCGCATTATTTTACTATCAGTAGAATTCAAGAAACCATTGAATTAAGTTAAATGGATAGAATAATGAATGGATGGTTAAACCATGGAAAGATGGTTAAGTGTAGATGTTGGTCTACAGTATAGACCAACTTACTGTTGCATAGATTTAGGTAAAAATCTATACAAAAAGCCTTAGTACATTTGTAGGATGCATTAATAAATATAGAATGATCAGGGCAATGGAAATTAGAACCTTATACTCTGTGTTCATCAGCCGGAATTTGAGGTTTGGATATTCAGTGTTTAGTATCTTTTGATTAATAAGGTCAACCAAGCTTGTGAGAGACTTGGAAGTATGTGTTTAACCTGGAGAATTGCAGATGGAAGAGAAATACAATAACTGCCTTATAAACATACTATTAAGTTTATAAGCTTGCCTTTAAATGTATTAACTGTCTTATAAAGCAAGACTTTTTCGAGTTGTTTCAAAAGCCCAAGTCAATAACATGAAGTTATAAGGAAGTCTGTTTACAAAAACTACAAGAATAGTTCAGCATTCCCAGAACTGGAATGCTGTCAGCTACACTCTGTTCCCTGCCACAGAGGCTGTGCTTAAGAAGAAAGAAATGACTTTTCATTTGTCCTCCAAGTTTTAGCCCTGGGACGCTTAGCTTTGTGAAGTGTCCCCTGTGCTTATGTGTACCTATTTGTTCTGTTAAACTGTAGGACCATGGAACATCCTTCCTCATCCTCACTGTGCTATACCCACATGGCTAGGTTGCTATTTTTCCTTCTGTATTTGGAATCATTCACTGAAGAAGACATTTAGTACTGAAGTTTTGTTTGTAGAAATCTTAGTTTGCTGGATGCATGTGGCTCATGCCTGTAATCCTAGCTAAAAAAGGGCTGGTGGAGTGTCTCAATGTGTAGGCCCTGAGTTCAAACTCCAGTACCACAAAAAAAAGTCTTAGTTGCAGGTTTAATTTCCATGAGAGATGCGGTGTTATTCAGAATTCCTGTTACTTCTCTGTGTCAGTTTTGATATGTTTGCTTCAGAAAGTATTCGTTTCATCCAAAATTTCAAAATCTTTCATTTGAAGTTTGTTCTTAATATGCTCTTATTATCGTTGTAGCCCCTCCCTTTTAATTATAATACTATTTTTTGTGCCACATTCTTCTTTCTTGATTAGGCTGGCAACAGTTCATGAATTTTATTAAACTTTTAACTGGTTCCATGTTTTTCTTCATTGAAAACATTTGTCGTCATCTACTTTCTACTCTCTCCTCTTCGTTTTCCTTTATGTTCAGTTCACTGCCATTTTCTAATTCTTCAGAAGCATGGGTGTCAGCCATTCTTCCTTCTAGAATAATAAATTTAAGGCTCTAAGTTTCTATCAGTCTAGCTTTGGACTATAAATTGTATCACTCGATTCTTGTCATATTCTTTGTATCTTCATATTCATTAAAAAAATTCTGATTTCTTTTTAAACACATGGTTTATTTAGAAATGTACTGCTACCTGTATAGCTATCCTTATCTCAACTAGCAAAAACCCTTGTTCCTTTCTATTATTGCTTATACTCTCTCTTCAACAAAATTAGAGATAAGGGCAAAATAGTTTCTGCCTGGTATTGAGGGGGTGGGGGGAGAGGGAGGGGGCGGGATGGGTGGTACGGCAGGGGGTGGGGGCAGAGGGGAGAAATGACCCAAGCATTGTATGCACATATGAATAATAAAAAAATTTTTTTAAATAAATAAATAAAATAAAATATAAATTCCATAAAAAAAGAAAGAAATGTACTGCTAAAAACCTAAGTATTTTCTTATTTTGAAAATGAATTTGGAAATTATTGAAAATTTTTTTTTTGTGGTACTCGGGTTTGAACTCATGTTCAGCGGGTGCTCTACCACTTGAGACTTGCTCCCAGCTCAAATTTTTCTTATTTTATTAGTTATTGAGAATATTAAAATCTCCTACTATGATTGTGGAATGAATTTTCCCCCTTCATATGTAGAAAGTCTTAGTGTGCTTTTACATGTATAATGAGTTTCTTACAGACAACATATTCTTGGGTTTGCATTTTTTTTAACATTCTGATAGTTATGCTTCTAAATTGCAGTGTTTATTGCATTTGGGTTTCATGCAGGTACTAATGTGGTTGGATTTAGATTTACTTAAAACCCTCATCTCATCGGGAACTTCTTGTTCCTTTGTTTCCTTTTCCTTCCCTTCTTTTTGAAGGTTGGAATTCTTTTAGAATTCCATTTTAATTTGTTATCCTTTTACCACTGTATTTTTGCATTATTTTTAAGTGATTGCTCTAGAATTATGTATCTTCAAGTTTTCACAGCTTACTCAGAGTTAACATAGAACTATTTCACAAAAAATAGAGAAGCCTTGCTTTCAAATAGATCCTCTTGGCAGGGCTCAATCTCCTACTTAGGCCCATACTGCACTCCTGGTGGTCACTGCTGTGAGACTGCTCAGGTACCATTATGATCTCTGATGTTGTTTTGAAATTATTAATTTGCATTGTATGTTAAGGATTTGCTTACATCTTTCATTTCCTAATAGACTATGATCTCCCCAAATTAAGAACTAAACCTTACTCACTTTTGTGAACTCAGAGCCCAGAGTCATAATAGATTTTTAAAATAATCTGATGCAAAATGAAGAAATGTTTTATTTGTTACTGCTAAGAGACTTATGCTAGGTGTGGCAACTCACGCCTCTAATCCCAATTACTCAGGAGGTGAGATCGGAGAATCATGGTTTGAAGCCAGCCTGGGCAAAAGTCTACCAACACCTCATGTCAACAAACAAGCTGAGGATGGTGGTATATGACTGCAATCCCAGTTATGTGGGACACACAGATAGGAAGGTCATTGTTCAAGGCTGTCCTGGTTTATGCAAAACCATAACCTAAAGCAAAAAAGAGCTGGGGGCATGGTTCAAATGGTAGAATCCCTGCCTAGCAAGCACAAGGCCCTGATTCAAGTTAAAATCCCAGTACAGACAGAGAGAGAGATAGAGAGAGGGAGGAAGAAAGAGAGAGAGAGAAAGAGAGAGAGACTTACTATTGCTTTATTTTAATTGGTCAAGTACCAAAGATATACAAATAAAAACTGAGATATTTTTAGTGATTCATGAAAGACTATATATCTAGGCACAGCATCTGTAAACTTATAAAGTAGAAACAACTAAGTAATTATCTTAACAATTAAAATAAATAACTATTTTAATAACTCTAAGTTTATTATGTACCAAGCACATAACTGATACACAATGCTTTTTAAGTAATCTCCATTAATCCTTAAAACGTCTTTGCAAAGTAGATACTATTATCCCCATTCTAAAGATGGAGAAATTGAGGCCTGGAGAGGTTAAGCATCTTTTGTGGCATATAACTAGTAAGTACTACATGTAGAGATCAAACCCGGGTACACTGAGGCCAGAACGGAAGCTGTCAACCATCTTGTTTTGTCGCAGGGAGGGCAGTAACACATATTACTCACTCACTGTGTGTCCGTTCACCTCCTTATGTACTTCATGTCATCTTTAAATGATCCTGTGAGATTTGGGCACTATTAGAAATGGGGACACAAAGGAATAGATAACTGTCCACAGTGAAGCTTGCCCAATAAAAAGCTCAACAAGGATTACACCCTTTACTCGCCTGTGTGTCTGCTTACAGTATGGCCACCTTTTAAATTTTATGTATGCTTGGAAAGTGTTACTGATGTCACTGCTAGCTAATTAGAACAGATGATATGCTGCTGTGAGAGCTAGTAGAAGTCAAGCAATTAATTTGCTTTTGTTTAATTAAGGATGATCATCAAATATATTCT